TGATCTTCCTGAGGCAAGTCAAGTCACCATTGTTATTCATGAGTCCAGTCAAGTCCCAGCTGATCATCCAGAGTCCCGTCACGTCACAGTTTATCATCCAGAGTCACATCACGTCACAGCTGATCATCCAGAGTCACGTCACAGCTGATCATCCAGAGTCACGTCACGTCACGTCACAGCTGATCTGGTGCCCACTGCAGTTTCTCCAGAGGTGGCGGCGCATGCTGCAGAACCTTCCGAAGCGGCGGTGCTCGCTTCAGCTCCTAGCGTGGTGGTGGCGCCTAGAAACGCACATTCAACTTGTCATGTCAGGGTCGAAGAGACCTTTGCCAAGCTCTCCCTGTATCCTGAGGGCACTACTGTAGAACCTCCAGAGGTACTGCTCGTCCTGTTCCGGCCAAGGAGGCCGTCAATGAACTCTCTATCTGTTCTGTTCCGGCCAAGGAGGCCGTCGATGAACTCTCTGCTCGTCCTGTTCCGGCCAGGGAGGCCGCCTATGAACTCTCTGTCTGTCTTGTTCCGGCCAAGGAGGCCGTCAGTGAAATCTCTGCCTGTTCTGTTCCGGCCAAGGAGGTCGTCTGGGAATTCTTTGTCTGTCCTGTCACGGCTATAGAGGCCGTTTATGAACTCCCTGCATGTCCTGTCACGGTTATGGAGGCCGTTTGTGAACTTTTGTCTTGTCCCGACCCAGCCAGGGAGGCTGCCCCTGAACGCTCAGTCTTGTCTATCAACCCCAATGTTCTGTCTGTGTTGTCTGTCTCTGCTCTCTCGTTGTTACAGTCTCCGCCATGGTCTCCTGATCGGTGTGGTTCACCGGGGGGGTTTCCTGTTCCCTCTGCTCTGCCGTGGTGGTCCTCTGCTCTGCCGTAGTGGTCTTCTGCTCCGCCGTGGTGGTCCTCTGCTCCGCCGTGGTGGCCTACTGTCTGGCTCTGGTGGTCTTCTGCTCTGCCGTGGGGATCTTCGGTCCCGTCTGCTCTGCTGTGGTGGTCCTCAGCTCCACCTGCTCCGCCGGCTCTGCCTCAGTCCCTGGTCTCTCCTATCCTTGGACCTGGCCCTCCGTCACCTGTTCCGCCTCCGCTCCACTGGCCACCTGGATCGTTTAGTGGGGGGGGGGGCTCTGTCATGGATTCGGTCCATGGACTTCCATTTGTTCACCACCAGAGGTCACCCTTTCCATTACATTGACTCTCGCACAACACAAACTGATGCATAGCACCCCGGACTACATATCCCATCATTCATTGCACGGTTTGCACACTGCACTGATTGCACTCATTGCACACAGCTGTTTCTTATCACCTCACTAACTATATAACACCCACTCAAACTGCCATTCTCTGCTGAGTATTGTTTAGCCCGTACCCCATTCCAAGTCTCTGTGTTTTCCCTGTTTTGCCTTGCCTGTTTTCGCGGTTTCTGATCTTTGCCTGTTTTCCTGGATTTTTCCCTCTCGTCTCGCCCCTGTGATTCTGTCTGCTGATCGGTGACCTACGCTAGCCCTGGGACTATTCTTGTGTTTTGCCCGTCATATACCTGTTTGCCATTGTTTGACCCTGCCTGTTTACCACGTCTCTTTAATAAAGCCTGCAGATGGATCCACACGTCTCACGTCTCGTCAGCCCCGTCACAATAGGTTTGTTCTGTTCAGCCCAGGTGAGTTCATGTCCTGTTTAGATCTGTTTGAGTACCTGTCCAGCCAGGCTAGTAGATTTTTTGCTGCTCCGATGAGGTCAACGACTGAAGTCAGGAAGTCGTTCGGAAGGCGGCGTGACACCCGTCCATCATAATGCCCCCCACGGCGGCGGCCCGTAATGAAGTTCTGCAGATTCTTAGCGGATGCACTGAGTTTGTGCGACAAAGTCCGCAAATTCTCTGTCTCTAGACCATAGTTCTGCAACAGGAGGAAAAAAAATGTTTACATACCATTCAAAAGTTTGAGGTCTGTAAGATTTTTATTAGTTTTTTTGTTTTTTAATTTAAAGAGTTTTCTTCAGCAAGCATGCATTAAAATCAGCAAAAGTGACAGTAAAGACTTTTGCATCGTTACAAACGATTTTAATTTCAAATAAATGCTGTTCTTTTGAACTTTCTATTTATCAAAGAATGCTGAAAAATGTTTGCACAAAAATTTCCACAAAGCAGCAAAGAAATGTTTCTTTGAGCACCAAATCAGCATACTGGAATGGTTTCTGAAGGATCAAGTGACACTGAAGACTGGAGTAATGGCTGCTGAAAATTCAGCTTTGCCATCACAGGAATAAATTACATTTCAAAATATATAAAAATAGAAAACTCTATTTGAAATTTTAATAATATTACTGTTTTACTGTAATTTAATCAAATGAATGCAACCTTGGTGAGAATAAGTAACTTCTTACATAACATTTAAAAAAATCTTTCAGACCCCAAACTTTAGTGTATGTCTGACAAAGCGTGATAGATTTATTATTTTACAAAGTTCTTTTCACTACAAAGTCTAATATCAGTTTTGCCTAAGACGGTCCAAGTTAGTAAACCAAAGCACATCAGATCTTCTATGGGATTACATCTCTGCCGCAATTCTGCGGGAAAAAAGTGCGTTTTGCATGCGCGCGAACTGAGGTTTGTGGAGAAAATGTTTGTCTTGCAAAGAAGAAAGTATTTAGAGTGCACGAAAATCAATTTTGCATTTAAAATACATTTTTGGATGTGTGCAGACCTTCTCTTTTGTGCGTGCAACGTTTCACTAGCTTGCTCACCTGATGCCCGCCCTCAGTTATCTCTAAATGCCAACAGCTCACTTGCTCAACACAACCCAGTGTTACAATATGCCATAATTTCAGCCAATCAGAGACGAGGCTGCTAAATTCTGCATTCTGCAATAATTATGCATGCAATGTATTTTCCTCTTCTGCTGTCGTGGTAATGCAAGAAATGTTGTGAGTGGTTGTCAAGGCAGCCAATCAGAATTTAGCAGCCTCTTCTCGTCTCTGATTGGCTGGAATTATGGCATATTGTAACGCTGGGTTGTGTTGAGCAAGGCTAGTGAAACGTTGCACGTGCAAAAGAGAAGGTCTACACACATCCAAAAACTTATTTTAAATGCAAAATTGATTTTCATGCGCTCTAAATATTTTTTCTTTGCGAAACGAACGTTTTCTCCACAAAACTCAGATCGCGCACGTGCAAAATGCGCTTTTGTGCGCTCAAAATATGAGCTTTCGCGCACAGAATTGTGGCAGAGATCTAAGCCTATAATCTTATGGCTGATTTTCTCAATCTGAGACATAAAAGCCACACTGTGTAAGTATAAGCAGAAGAAAAACCTATCAAGCTGCATTCGCACATCATGTACTGAGGGTCATCACTACGCACTAAGTTACTCCGAAATAAAACACTGCCTACACTGTGAAATGCAATAAAGCACACAATCAAGTCTCCATTCATATCTGGCAAAGGCATTACTCAGAATAAATGTCCTTTTCTCAGAACTGCTGCTTGGAGGCCGTGGAACTGCAAAACCCATCATTTCTGTGAATCGATCGGCTGAATAGTTCAATCACCAGACCAAGCTTGTAGTATTTTCTCAAATTTCTTCTTTTGGGTTTGTTTATAGTATTAATCAGCTGGACCCAACATCTGTCATTTATAGAAATGAGAGGTTTTCCGACTTCCTCTCGATTTTTGTTGGTACCTGCAGTACTGACGTGCCATTTTCTACAGTCGTGACTGTTATTCTCTTATCTAAGCACCACAATCGCTGCATAAATTAGAGCCTCAATGCATATTAATATGCAGACACCCATTCAATGTTCCAACCATTATTATAAATAGATCCTTATATAAATAGGTTCAGCATTAAGGTCTTTGATGTTGTTCATGGCACCTTTTTAAAAGCTCTCGCGGTGCCTTTAGAATCTAAATAAGTTTTCAGGTTACTATGTTTGTCCGAGACCCAAAGCAAAGAAAACGATTTTAAAAGAACAAGCCCTGGAAAGTCTGCAGAATCTTGTGAGGATTTAGGAAGGATCTGGTGACAGGTGACTCTTGTTTTAAAAAAAGGTTTAATGCAACATTTATAAGGAGAAAAAGGCTTCAGGATGGTGCTTCAGAGGGCAGCCAATGTATCTTGCTTTACTTCCACTTTTGTATGTTTTTGTTTGTTAATTCTGTTCACCTCACGAAACCCAATAACATAATCCAGAGAGATTCTATAATGCATTTTTTATTTTGCATCGTGTAGACTGCTGAAAAATTAAGGAGAAGTTTCAAGCTGAATTTTTATTTACCTGCATTTAATGAACTTTGGATGTGCCTCACATGGTCTGTCACTGCATGTTAATATCAGGCATGCTGAAATATTTCTGTTGTTAGGTCTTGCGAGGTATGCACTTTTTCTAAATGCTATTTTCTTTTAGAGTCAGATAGAAACTGCTCATTTTAAAACCCTAATTTTAGCTAAGTGGTTGACTGACTGGTGATTGTAGTGTATAAGATTTTAAATTTATATTATATGGTTTTTTTTTTGTTCAAATGAATCATATTTGTTATAATTATAATATTGTTATCAATTTTATATTTGAAGAGTTCAGATGCAAAAGCCTCTAAGTGCCATCTGAAATTTTCATCTAAAATGAGCATTTTAATCAGGCTCCTATGTTTAGGTTCAGTAATTTTACTTTAATGGCACTATATAGGTCCTTTTCTATGCCATTAAAGTGAAATAACTGAACATAAATATAGAAGCCTGATAAAAATGCTCATTTTAGATGAACATTTCAGATGGCACTTAGAGGCTTTTGCATCTGAACTCTTCTTTGATATATTTAATATGTTTACTTTGAATGGAAGCCTGTAGAAACACGCATTTCAATGTCAAGCAGTGTTGTTATTATTAACTATTGTTTTGTTGATTACATTTTGTTAATTAAAAAACATAAAATTGGACAAAAAACTTCAACTTAAAAAGTATACAAGATGACAATGTTCAAGTTGGTTAAGTTAAAATTACTAAGACTCAAATTAAATTTAAAAAATAAAATGAACTAAAACAAAAACTAATAAAAATGACAAAATCCAATCAAAAAAAACTTGAACTAAGATGAAAATGAAAACTTGAAATAAACAAATTCAAAAATTGTTATCAGTGTTTATATACTATTTTTGAAAGCTAATTCGTGACTGAGTACAGAGTAGAATTCACTGTTGTCTACGATCAGATCTTAAATGTGACCCTGGACAACAAAACCAGTCTTAAGTGTCAATTTTTTTAAATTGAGATTTATACATCATCTGAAAGCTGAATAAATAAGCTTTCCATTGATGTGTGGTTTGTTAGAGTAGAGCTGAGATACAACGATTTGAAAATCTGGAATCTGAGGGTGCAAAAATATCGAAATACTGAGAAAATCGCCTTTAAAGTTGTCCAAATGAAGTCCTTAACAATGCATATTACTAATCAAAAATTAAGTTTTGATATATTTGCGGTAGGAAATTTACAAAATATCTTCATGGAACATGATCTTTACTTAATATCCTACTGATTTTTGGCATAAAAGAAAAATTACCCATACAATTTTTTTTGGCTATTGCTAAAAATATACCCAAGCACCTTAAGACTGGTTTTGTGGTCCAGGGTCACAAATCATTTTGGACCCTATTTACATTAGTATTTATTGTTGTTCTTCTTGTTTAACCCAAAACAGCTCTTTAATAATAAACCTGAATTCGCATGAATAGCTGTGAGGATGTTAACTACTTAGATTTCTCTCTCTCTCTCTCTCTCTCTCTCTCTCTCTCTCTCTATGATGCATGAATTCCTCCAGCAGCCAAACAAAACCAAAAACGCATCTTCCCTTCCCTCCACACACTCCCTCTTTTTGTGTACTGGTTGGGAGATTCCCGCTGGGTGCTAATCATTCAGTGTTAAGCGGAGTTTGATTAAAATGTCTGTTGTGTCATTAATACAAAACAAACACATCATTATCACAGCCAGTCTCTTTTACACTCACACACACACACACACACACGCACCAGTGCGCAGAGTAAGTCCACAGCCTCCAGAATGAGCTCCTGGTGTCCGATGCGGGTCACGCCAAGCTCTTCCAGCTCCTGATGGGTGATGTGAAGCAGCTGCTCTCCGGTTATCTGCTCTCTCTCAAATGTCCTCATATACTGCAGCAAACAGTCATCCAACCCTGAGAGAGAGAAAAGTGCAACACGAGTCATGTGATCGTAATTCATTTATGTCATGTAATAAACTTAAAATGTGGCCCAGCATAATGGGGCTTCTCTCCGTACAGAGAGCTGTCATTAAGATGATTAATACACAACACTCATACACACACACCAAATGCGATGCATAAACACACCGTAAACCTGCAAATGATGACAAGTGGCTAATTCCTGTAACAGTTTGTGCTTTATTCTAAAAAAAGACGATAAACCACTTAGTGATTACAGACACGTCTCTCAAAATGAGACACACACCTGCATTTCTCTCTCTCTCTCTCTCTCGCTCAAACCAATTCATTAAATTATACTGTTTTCTTTGTGAAAATTCCACCACCTAGGCCTACTCCGCAAAAACGTCTGTGGCGTCAAAACTTTTATTCCTCACATGTAGCCTATTTAATTAATAAAACGTTCTAAAAGCTGAAGTGGGCTCCAACTCGTTAACATAAGTTATATTGTTTTCTTTTCTGAGGTAGCCTGTAAGCTATAACATATAAGTGACTATTCACAAGCTGTTTTATTCATGGTATAATACAGTAAATGATTGGACATAATATTTAACGTCTTCCATTCATTATTTGTAGCATGCCAGCCACCCAGTAATCGCAATAATTTTGTGCTTTGTTGCTTTTGACACAGCTCAGCTTTCTAATTCTGTCAGTTTTATCATGAAATACAAATTATAAATGTGTTTTTCCTCTTTATTTCAAGTTTATAGCAAGATATAAAAGTGAAGGAACACCAGAAGGCATGAAAAAACAGTATAGCTTAATTTATAATGAAAATAATGTCTCATTATTGTAATCAGAAAGACTCGCATGCCGCTTAAACTGAAGCGAATACAGCGATCTGTCACACCACATTAAAGAGCGTGAAAAAAACACATTATTGTAATATATTGTTTGTATTTCGATTTTGAAAGCTGAGCCTTTGGAATATCTCCCGGTGCTCCCAATCCGGGCCATTTGCATGTGCAAAAGGCTAGAATATACTCTCAAAATATTATAACTTTAATCTTTATTCTCGAAACATTTTGACTTTATTCTCGTAATATTTCAACTTTATTCTCAAAACATTTAGACATTATTCTCGAAATATTACGACTTTAATCTCGTAATCGTAGATTTTTTTTAACGTGGCACTAAAACGCCATCGTGCTTAAGCAATTCTGTCAACAACAAAGATTAATTTAGAAACAGCAGGTTTATTGTGGAGTAAATTAATTTTAATGAATTTTCGAAGTATTTTAGTCACGTGCACTGTGAAACAGGCCTGTGTGTAGTGTGTGAGTTTAGAATGCTTTTTCAACATAAAATAATATGTGAGAACTATTACTAAATTTACTGTTTGCCAAAAAAAAAATGTCTGTCAAGCATCATGCAAATTACACACACAGTGACAATAAGACAAACACCAGCACATATAAATCAATCCAGAGGTTTTTTGCTGTAGTTTGGGGCTTGTGTTCAATTTTGTATGGATTTGTTGGCATTTGAAATTCTCATGTGAATTATATTTCATAATTGTATTTTTTAATTCTTAAAATACTTCATTTTTAAAAATAATTTAGCAACCAAAACTCAGTAGAAACACTGTCAGAAAGCAAGCCTGTGTTGTGTGACAGGTTGAAATCCTATAAATCTTCCTTGGCCAAACACTGAAAAACTACAGAAAGTGCTCGGTGGTGAGGAATATGTATGTGTGGTGAAGAATAATTTTAGATAAACTTTGTTTTGGTTCATGAAAGGTGATCCAGCATTTGAAGTTATTTTAACGGAGCATTCTGTATTAGTGAGAGAACCTGACCTTGAGAGCTTCAGGAAGTGCAGGTAATGAGTAATAAAACACTCGGTTCAGATAAGGTTAGGAAGAGCAGAGCACTTTCCTCACCAATGCAGTCAGTTTATTTTGGGTTTATTAAATTGAAGGCATTCATCAAATAAGTTCTTTTGCAGTGCTTTAATCAGCACAGGAGAGAATGTCTGAATTGAGTTCATCTTCTAAACTGGCATGACCTCTGTGGTTTTGAGTTCACTTTTATTCCCATGTCCCCTTCAGACAGCCAGCCTTGTCTATTTAGAATGAAGTTTCTGGAAATCCAGTCTGTATATAGAACCACTGTGTTCTTAAAAATCCTATGAAAAGGCTTGACGAGTACAGTTTTATTTCATATTCAGCCTTCCTGTAGCTCATACAGTGGAACACAGTGGTAGCACGCCAAGGTCATGGGTTTGATTTCCACAAAAAGCAAGAAATTATAAATGTGTGCCTTGAATGCAATGTAAGTCACTTTGGATAAAAGCATCTGCCAAATACATAAATGTGAATATTTCCTAGAGAAACCGTATGATCTAATGGGATATTTCAAATTGTGCATGATTTTTTTTTTCAAATGAATAAATGAGGTAAATACATGGCCTCAAAGCTAACATGAACTAAATACTATGAATGTCCAGATTTTTATTTCATGCGTCTACTTTAACTGTGCCCTACATGACTTAAGGATAGCTTGATGAACACATTTGCCAAATTTCAATGAAACTGTGAAACCTACGGAAGTTCTAAGCGGCCATGCATTATTTTTTTCCCCCTTCTTGTTTTCTTGTTATAACGACTTATTTTCTCGTTATATCGACATAACGAGAGTTGTTTTCTCGTTATAACGACTTAATTTTCTTGTTATATCGACATAATGAGAGTTGTTTTCTCGTTATAACGACTTAATTTTCTTTTAACGAGAAAATTAAGTCGTTATAACGAGAAAACAACTCTCGTTGTCGATATAATGAGAAAATTAAGTCGTTATAACGAGAAAACAACTCTCGTTATGTCGATTTAACGAGAAAATTAAGTCGTTATAACGAGAAAACAACTCTCGTTGTCGATATAATGAGAAAATTAAGTCGTTATAACGAGAAAACAACTCTCGTTATGTCGATTTAACGAGAAAATTAAGTCGTTATAACGAGAAAACAACTCTTGTTATGTCGATTTAACTAGAAAATTAAGTCGTTATAACGAGAAAACAACTCTCGTTATGTCGATATAACGAGAAAATAAGTCGTTATAATGAGAAAACAAGAAGGAAAAAAAAATAATGCATGGCCGCTTAGAACTTCTGTAGAAACCCAACTGCAGGTGCTAAAGTATTATCTCTTGGAAAAGAAAAATTCAGTGTTCAAATAGAATAGTATACTTGAAAACGGAACTGTCAGTTATTTGTAAAAGCATAATGTGAAGCAGTATGTATTAGGCATAGCGAAACAGTTCAAACAGAAATATGCTATATTGTTCACACATGACCACATTGCAGTGTGTCAAAATTGTTGTTTAAAATTTTTTTTTTTGGCAATGTTTCATAATGTCTTATTAATTCTTGGCAGTCTGATTAAATACGAAGTAGATAAAAATTCGTCAATATTTCTTCTGATGTATTTATCACACTGAAAATTAAAGGTCAAGTTGAACACTTAGCATTATGGGATACAGTATTCAGGCCAGGGCAGTGAGCTCTTGTATAATGCACATTTTGGCAAATGTATTACAGTTCATCTGGGATTTCTATGCTTACAGAAAATTTGCATGCTATATACCAGTGTTTCCCAACCGGGGTGCCGTCTGTCGAGAGCAGGGGTGCCGTGTAAAAAAATCATTTTTTTATATTTTTAAATTGCTAAAATGTTCAAAAAAGCATATATTATATAATATCCATTTCTGATGTCGCCAATAATTAGAGATGCACTGAAATTCGGCTCAGTTAGTTCACCGCTCAGGTTTCACTTTCACCTGGTGTGACGCTCTGTGTATTATCCACTCTATGCGTGTGCGCTCCGCTCAGTCGCTCACGGCCCATGTGAGTGCTCCACTCGTATACCGTTCAAACGAATCGGAACAGCAAAGTCCACTCAAAAATTGAGCAGACAGGAAACATGGATGTAGTACAGTATTGTTTCTGTCTGCAATAGCCCTACTGTGTTGGAATATGGGCAACTCTGGTAACGCTGCCCTCTCATTCATTGATCTG